TTTTTTTTTTTTTTTTTTAAAAAAAAAAAAAAAAAAAAAAAAAAAAAAAAAAAAAAAAAAAAAAAAAAAAAAAAAAAAAAAAAAGAAAAGAAAAGAAAGAGAGAGAAGAAAAAAGAAGATCACAGATATCCCATGGACATCATAAAATGATATGGAAGTCGAGCTATAGCGAGTTTGTTTCCAGAGAAATGACTATCACGAACTCTTGTCAGCATCAATAGCTTAGTTTTAACTTGTTTAAGATTATCATCCACCTATTTTTTTTAAAAAAATTTGATCGCATTCTTTAAATTAGAGAGAGAACAAAGAAAATAAGCAATATTTTAAGCACATCTAACTGGTTTTTTTTCGCAGGAACTTCCAAAAAATTTGGAAGGAACCAAATGAATGCAAGTCAAACTAGGGTGGCTCGTAGTATTTCTGTTAAAGATGTCATCGCCGTGCTGCAAAGAGAACCCCAGATGTCCAGATCCACCACAATATATCGTTTGTTCAACAAAGTTCGTTCCGAAGCCACCGGTGAATAGAATTGACTATAACAATGGTAAACTAACATCCCTAGAGACATGCGTTCGTTTGGCGGGGTTCTGTCCGTCTGAACTAATGGTATTGGCTATATGATAAACTGCATAGTTTTTGAAATATAACTGCTTAAGTTGGTAGCTGCTGCTAGAACAATTAGAAAAGGAGTTCCTCAAGAGCTTGTACAGATTAAAGAGGCTCAAGACCTTGCCCGAGAGAGCTCTATTTGCCACAGTTTGGCGCTGATTCGTTTCTGGTTTTCAATACGCTGAAAAGGGAAAGGGTGATGATTCGGATCTTTGAGCTCATGAGATGGAAGAAGATTGTGTTGATGTTTGGCTTCAACCAAATCCATCTGCTATACACTCCCTTTACCTTCATGATTTAGCTTCTTTTTTTTTTTTTAATGGTTTATCTATGTGTGTGTGTGTGTGTGTTCTGAATATTAACGCTATTGGAGTGCTATTATGTAAGCTCCTAGGCGTTTTGTCATTGATGATAAATTATTTTATTCTTCTTTTTTCCACGTCGATAAATCTTCCCATCTTACCGGTGTTCGTATGACCCAGTAACCTGTTCAACTCAGACTACTACCAAACTCAATCTTTCCACGTTGATGATAGTTTAATCATAGTTTGGAACCTTCTATAAATCTTTCATTCCAACCATTACAGGTGTTCGTGATAATCCATCCAATTCAGGCTAATTGAAAATTTTGGTTTGGTTTGGGTTGTAACTTAGGTTAGTTTGGGTTGTGAGTTAAACATTCTTTTAGTTAGATTAGGTGCTCAAAGTTACCCTACTTTAAAAAAAAAATAAATAAATAAATAAGAATATTTGAACTTTATGAAATGTATAATATAAGATACGATATTCGATAAGGCCTAGAAAGTATGAAAGTGATACTCGTATACTGAATTCTGTGTGCGCAAAAAGAGAAACTTCTGAAACTATGTATATAAAAGTGAATTTAAATCCAAGACTAGGTTTTAGGTCACAATACCGTCATAATATAGTCATGTTATGCATTTCTCAACCCCAATAGTAAGGTCACTTACATGATATTTTTACTAGTCGGTGCTACAAGTGTGTACGGGCTTCGTATGAATGATATTGATAATTCCAATTACTCAGCACCACTAACAGAAGACAACTGATTTTGAGACACATTGATGTTTGGCTTCTCACATTTGACAGTTATGTGTTGTTGTTCTTGATCATCACCATTTATGAACTCTTTGAAGCAAGCAATTCTGCCCAATTCTTCAACTTCATCAATAATATTGTCAAGCTTAGCCACTGTCTCAACAAGCAAAGAAGCAAAGGCTGCAAATGGAAGTGCTTCTGAGAACTCAAGGCTTGTGATAGCTATTTTACTTAACTGTGGCCTCAACACCTTCCTTTCAGCCTCCCTTGATTGCACACTTGCCCTTTTCGTCTTCCATTCCATCAGCGCCGATGAGTCGGTTTTCACGCTCGATAACGATCCCCCTGACCTGCAGCGCTTTTGTCCTGCTTCTGCTGCTGCTAATGCTAGCATATTGCTGGCTTTGTTCCTGTTTGAACCTAGGAACAACCGTGGCTGCGATTTTATCGCTTTGTTCAAGTCTTGTAACGCTTCATGAAGATGGTCCGAGAGGATCTCTGGTGAACAATGTCGTCGATTACGTATGCTGTTAGCGAGTTCGATCAATGCTTTTGATACTTCCCGTGCTACACGAGTGCAAGGATCTTTGAAAAGGATTCGAACCGATCGTGGAGTCTAGAACGATACAAAAAGAAACTCTTAGATTGTGTCAATCATTGCAAGCACTAGAATTTGAACCAATATGATGCACCTGAATCTCAGTCTGCAGGCAGCCATGTAGAGCGACGACGGTGTAACCGAAATGGCGAAGAACGCCGCCCAATTTCACATACTGCTGCCATGGGATTCTGTAGCAGTGACTTGAGTGTCTTGGCTCCCAGCTTGCTTGTAATGCCTGCTCAGTTTACAAGCAAATATTGAACAAAGTGCAACAAAAGTCATTCAGAAAAAAGTATCAAAAAAGGCTTTCCTACCAAAGATTCATCTATGGATTTTGAGTCTAGAACTGCCTTGTAACCTTTGTAGATTTGGTCCCCTGAACAGCTCTCTTTGTTATCGTCGATCTCGGTGTCGAAAAAATACTCATTAACACAGCCTGCGAGGGTGATTATTACGAGTGTCATTTACTTACATTCACATGACAGACGTGAGATCTCACATCGATTGCGGAGGAGAACGAAGCATCTTAAGGGTGTGGAAATCTCTCCCCTTAGCAGACGCGTTTAAAAAACCTTGAGGGGAAGCTCGAAAGGGAAAGCCAAAAGAGGATAATATTTGCTAACAATGGGCTTGGGCGGTTACAAATAGTATTAGAGCCAGACACTGGGCGATGTGTCTGCGAGAAGGCCCCGAAGGAGGGTGGACACGAGTAGGTGTGCCTGCAAGGACGCTGGAGATTGGAGGGTCTCACATGAATTGAAAAAGGAACGAGTGCCCGCAAGGACGCTGGGTCCCAAAGGAAGTGAATTATGAGATCTCTCATTGGTTGGGGAGGAGAATGAAGCATTTTTTATAAGAGTGTGGAAACCTCTCCCTATCAGATGCGTTTTAGAAACCTTGAGAGGAAGCTTGAAAGAGAAAACTCAAAGAGGACAATATCTGCTAGCGGTGGGTTTGAGCTAAGCCCCAAAAGGGGTGGACACGAGTCGGTATGCTAGCAAAAGCGTTGGGCCCCAAAGGGGTGGATTAGGGGTCCCATATTGATTGAAGAAAGAAACGAGTGACAGCGAGAACTCTAGGTCTTGAAGAAGGGTGGATTGTGAGATTCCGAAAGGGAACCTTGAGGGGAAGCTCGAAAGGAAAAACAAAAAAAAATATAATATCTGGTAGCGGTGGACTTAGACTGTTACGATCATGTGAAGATACTTAAAAGCAAGGTGTTCTTGTTTTGTACCTTCAATGGATTTGGCAAGGCCTTCAAGCTTGAGAACCGTTGAATTATGGAGCTCTTCTCCAGACCAATTTGGGAAGATCAATAAGCTCATCAAAAGGCAGACTCCACAGCCAATGGCAATGGTATACAATCTATCGTGTGCGATTTTCAAGACATTGTCGACCCGGTAGCTCGACACGGTTATGAGATTAAACGTCAAGAGAAATATCACCACTCCATAATCATAATTCTTCTTGATTTTAGGAAAGAATCTCATATATGTTGCTGCAGCTCCTATGACATTTAAGAAGACATCAAAAAGTTCCAAGTTTTAGCATAAACTAAGGATCATTAGCAACAACCTTAAAAGAACAAACAAAGACAAAATTACCTATAAGAAAAACAGCAGCTCCAATGAAACAAGCTCTAAAAACTCTTCCAGATCTATTAGCAACACCCTCAATGAAAAAAGCTAAGGATCCTGCCAATAATGTCCCCAACCCTCTATTGAGTCCTTTGCATAAAGTTGCCCCTGCCATTAAACCATTCAATACATAGCAAGAAACCGATCGAAATGAAACACGACAACTTTTAACTACGAATTTACAATGATCGAGTTAGATAGAGAAAACCCTGATCGAGTTAGATAGAGAAAAGAACGAACCGGCGGTGAACTCTAGAACGACGACGACCGTCATGACAGCCCATGTCGCATTGCTACCAATCCTTTTGAACAATGGCTCTATTAAGTACAACAAAGAAACAAGTGTGAGAGAGAGACCAACTTTGAGAGAGTGGATAATTCTCCTAGGATCTTCAGCTCCCACTTTCTTGGAGGTTTTCCAACACAAAACAGGAAAGTGTTGGATTTTGTCCATTGTCACTTGGATGTGTTTGTTCACTTGCATCTTCTTATGGTCTTCTCAGCATCAACTCTAGGAAGAAACAATGACATGTAATAGTAATAATAATAATTCAATGAACAAAAACCTTAAAAAAAGCTAAAACATAACCAATATGATAAACAAAATTTGACAACATATATGTTTTTTGATCTATTTGGTGTAATAAATTGGAAGTTCTTGTGTTTTTGAGAGAACCCCAAGTTTTTTGTAGTGGGTTTGATATGTCACTTTATATGCTCATGTCTCGAGAGAGAGAGATGGAGAGTCACATGTAGTGCAATAAAGTCCACAAGTATTTGAAGGGTAGGTTGCCATTTTTAAGCCAAATGTCAACTCAAAAGTGGAAGCTTTTACAACTATTTTCTCTTGGAAATGGTGAACTACTCGAGCCCAATTTTCATGATGATTTTGTTTATCATCAATGAAAAAATCTAGAAAGAAAATCGAGATTAGGATCGTTTCTAAGAAACACGAAGGGATCAGATTGAAATGAATCGAGCACCGTTCGAGAGTTGACTAAAATGAAATTGGGAAGTAGTTGGAAGTTATTATAATTAACATGGGAGTTTGGAACTGTGAGATCCCACATTGATTGGAGAGAGGAACGAGTTTCATCGGGGACATTGGGCAGGATGGGTTGTCATGAGATCCCACATTAGTTGGAGAGGGGAGCGAAATATTCTTTCTAAGAGTGAAAATTTCTCCATAGTAGATGCGTTTTAAAAGCCTTGAAGGGAAGCCCGTAAGGAAAATCCCAAAAAAGACTATTTTCTAGCAGTGCGCTTGGATTGTTACAGTTGGTATGAGAAGCATTTAAAGGGTGTGAAAACCTCTCCCTAGTAGACACATTATCTATAAGGGTGTAGATTGTGAGATTCTACATCGGTTGAGGAGGAGAACAAAACATTTTTTATAAGGGTGTGGAAACCTTTCCTTAGTAAACGCGTTTTAAAAACCTTGAAGGGAAGCTCAAAGAGGATAATGTCTGCTCGCGATGGGCTTGGACAAAAGACCCACACCCAAGTTCCATAGCTTTGGGTTCGCTATCCCGATCATGATTTTCCTACCCCCAGAGGGAAAAGTCCTTCCTTTTTTGGCCGGTTGTGGGCAAGGAGGGATTCGAACCCCCGACACCGTTGTTCGTAGCCACGTGCTCTAATCCTCTGAGCTACAGGCCCCACCCCATCTCCACTAGATCTGTTCCCGGGGGTACCCTAAAAAAAGGAACCTTTCCTCTCCCCAGCCATTTGCCATTTCGGGTTAAGAAGATGTGAAAGCGCCTCTCTCTCTATAAGAACGGTGCGTTCCAAGGTGTGAAGTGAGAGAGAAAAGTGGGAGATTAGACACATTTAAAGGGTGTGAAAACTTCTCCCTAGCTGACACATTATTTATAAGGGTGTGGAAACCTCTCCCTCTCAGACGCATTTTAAAAACCTTGAGGGGAAGTCAGGAAGAAAATGCCCAAAAAAAATAATATTTATTAGCAGTGGGTTTGAGCCGTTTGAGTTTGAGTCGGGATTAAAGTTGAGAATGAGAGATTAGTAATGATTAAAGTGTTGAAATGTGTTGGTTTAGCTGTGCACCGTCCAAGGGTTGACCAAACAAAAAGCTTGAAAGGCAAAAGAGTTCTTCACAAAACAAAACTCTCCTTTTAGCGTTGT